TTCCTCTCCTCTCCCCACTCCCGCCACTCCCTTCTCACTAAATTAGCAGTTAATAAATAATAACAACACTAAAAATGTTAGCAGCTAATAAGCAAATAATAGTTTCGATAAAACAGAAATCTTTTTTTTTTGTGAAGAATTGTCGGTGTTCTCCTTTTTCCGGAAAAAATAATTTAATCTTTTGTCCTCTTTTAAGCAGTTGTTTAGGATGGACTTTGGTTAGTCCCGCTTTTTCTTGTCAGTAGCGGATTTGATTATTTTGGGAGGATAATTCTTCTTGGTAAGCTCGATTAGTCTGTCTGAGTAAGTAGGTGGAGCCTTGCTTATTTAACCTATAAACAGTATGCTTAGAACCAAATTCTCTTCACGGATCATAATCTGGGTGCTTTTTTTGGAGTTTTTTTATCCCTTTAGCTAAGTGGGGGGGTAAGTCTAAGTGGGGGGTAAAGTAAGGGGATTGTTTGGGGTCTTGCTTGTTTAATTCTTGTTGGAAGTAAGAGTAGATTTGTTTTAATCTTTGTTTTTTTTGTTGTTTAGCTACTTGCTTGGCTTGTTGAACCCTGAGAGCGGCTTGTTTTTTTTGCCTTCTTTTTTGTTGGTTGGCTAATAACTTTTGCCGACCGGCTTGTCAGGCGGAGGCTCAAAGGTTGAGTTTTTGGCGGTAGAGGAGGCGGTATTTTTTGAGGAGGGGTTTTTGGTTGCTCCTTTTTGCTTGCTTGATTAAGTGGTCTAAGTCGGTGAAGGAGTATTTTTTTATTAGTCGCTGGGAGCCGTGAAATTTCCCTGATGGCTTTTTTTTAACTCTTTTAAACTTCTCTAATGATTTGCTTTTAGGTGGCATTTTTTAGTTCCAATTTATTAGCTGCTAATTAGCAGAATATAAATAATTTTTAAAAATTAGGAACTAATACCAACCTTTACTTTTCTATAATATATAAAATAATAATATATAGGCTGTAAAAGTTGTATATTTTAGTTCTCTGTTAAACTTTTATGATACAGGATTGTAAAATTTAATGTCAACAATATCATTCCTATATTGAACGAGTGGCATCGTTCCAATCGGTAATGGCTCGCTAGCAATGGCGAGTTCATTACCTAGTTAGCAAATTGAATTAGGTTAGCAGTAATTTTAACCTAATTGTCTTTGTCTATTCTTAATCATTTAGTATTTTTCTCTTCGCAGTTTAATCATTTAATCAAAGCAATCTCTTTTTCGCATTCCCAAATATATCATTGTTCTTGCTGCTGCTGATAACAAGGGGAACATAATCAGTGTTGAGTTTCCCAGAAACCCTTATTCCAAAAAAATTGGGCGGAGACTCATTGGCGTTTAAGCAGTCAACAATCATGACAAAAAAGCGATGATGGGAGAACACTACTGGGGAGTTGGCTACTTAACTTACTAGTCATAGATTTTTATTATTTAGTTCGCGAGCAAAACTTTTTAATTGTTCCTGATAAACTGGATATTTTTCTCCTAACTCAATTAGTTCACTCTGTAAGTCTTGTTTATAATCTGTTCACCTAAAATCAGGATCATTTATTTCATCTTGTCAGTTATCTTGGTTTTCCATAATTTTTAACTGATTTAAAACTTTTTGCGGTAAAGTAGGTATTTGGCGACAAGTAGGTGGACAACCGGATTTTTGGCAAGAATTTTTGAGTTCGTTATCTAATTCTTGGAGGATGGTTTTTATTTCTTTATTTTTACTTATTAATTCGGGTAATTTCATATTTTTTTCTGTCATATCTTTTATATTATAATTTTATATATATTTTAAAGCAAACTCATTAAATATTTTTCTTATATGCTTCCTTACTTTTATCAAAAGTTCCTATATAACGATATTGATAAAACATTTTTTGTTTTTCCTCTGTAACCAAACTGGAAAAATCTACTCGGTATTTTTCAAATCATTCGTTCAGGCAAGACCGACAAAGAATTTGGTAATCATTTCATTTTTCTCCTTCTGTCCAATAAGTTACATCATTAATCGCCGTTAGTCGTCTTTGTTCTCCTTTCTTTCGGGGAGGAATCAACTTGCGATAAAATATCCGATGGCATTTGTCGCAGGTGGTTTCTCTTATTTTTTTGATATTCATAATTAGTTTTATTATATTATAATTTTATATATATAAGCACAACCTCTTTATTCCACTCTTTCTCCTCAATAATTCCCCTTTCGAGCTTGACTTCGAGCCTTAATCATGTATTTTTTAATCTGTGAGTAATTAATGTCGGCTCCTAAAAATTCCCGCTTAGTTTCTAGGCAAGAATTCAGAACAGTAAAAGAACCGGCACAAGGGTCGACTACTAAATCTCCTTTTTGTGTTACTGCCTCAATTAATCTTTTATTTAGCCCGGCTGGTTTTTCATGAGGATGATCTCGTAGTAAAATAACTTTTCATCGTTCCTTAAAGATATTACCAAAAGAGCGGTCTCTAAATTCCCGGCAATTAAAAGGCTCCTTTTGTAGTAAATAAGCAAATTCGGCTTGATTACGGAATCAAGAACCTAACAACATATATGGGCTTTTGTCTCAGACCAATAAATCCACTACTTTTAAGTTGGCAGGTAAAGTAAAAAGATAACCATTATGGAGTAATTGTCTCTTAGCCAGTCACATTAAACAAAATCCGTTGGGTCGTAAAATGCGACTTATTTCTTGTAAAAAATTGTTAATGTTTTCCTGATCCTGATAAACCATGGGGGCTTGGTGGACTCTGATGACATCTTTAACTTTACTATATTGGGGATCAAAGAAAACTAATTTAGCACAATCTTCTGTTAGGCTGCGTAGTAATTCTAGGCCGTCGCCTTCATTAATGGCATTAGCAGTAAATACTGTTTTTTTTTTCTTTTTTTTGCATCTAATTACACGATAATTATAATAGCAGCTAATTAGTTGCTAATAATTTATTTTAGTAGATTTTTTACCCGCTCTTGCTATCATAGTAATCTTTCAACCTCTGATAAAGATTTTCCAAGGTCTGATTAATATTTTGAAATTCTTCATAATTTTTACCACTTAAATCACTTATTTTTTCTATTTGGTTGCTAATGCTTCTTAGTTCGCCACCAAAAGTATTAATTATTTCAGCATTACCCTCGTTAACTTCTTTTTCCAACAATCTAATTCTTTCTCGCAACAATTTTTTATCATCAAAGTTATATCTCATTATCTTTTGCGGCTTGTCAAAACTTTCTAAATCTTGCCTTTGATAATAATAAAAAAAACTGTGCAAATAATGTAATAACCAATTAGCAAAAGGTTCGGTTTCATGGCCCTCGTTGCATAAGCATCTTTCTTCTTCCTCATTTTTAATTCGCATTTTTTCTTCCTGGTCTTCAATATCTTTTATTGCTTCTCTGACTCTCCTACTTTTAGCACTCGGTTTTTCAGGTTCCACTTCTTCATAACAAGTCGGACATCATCGGCGAGTGCTTAATCCTAATTTACCGCGGGCAAAATCTTCTCGCTCTTTTTTATTTCAATTATTTCACAAGTTTAAAATTTCGTTAGTCTTTCCAATAAATTTACTTTCAAAATTATCAAAATTCATTTTTTTTGCTTCCTCAAATAATTCTGGATAATCTTCATTCTCTCCAAACTTTCAATTAGGATCGTTGGCTGGTCAGTCAATTTTCCCTTCACTATATTTCCAAAAAGTATTAGGATTTCAGGTAAAATTAAGGCTGGTTCCTAATCTCCCCCGCCTTTTCATAGCCGGATCAATAGTTTCATAATTATTAGTCGCAAAAATACAAATGCTACTTAAATCTTGGGCCTCCTTTTTTAACCCACCGCCATCTTCGGCCTGGGAAAAAAAATTCTTAAATTCCTCTAAATTATTTTTGGCTTGGGGATTATAAGTTAAGGAATTTTTCGCTTGATCGGCTTCATCTACAAAAACAATATAAGGCAGTTTGCTATCTTCGCCAATATTTCCCTCTTCGTCGGGATTTTTAAAAAAATTATTTTTAGCCTTTTTTAAAGTAATAATAAATTTTTCAAAAGTCTTAGGCTCGTCTTTGCCGGTACTCATTAAACTAGCTCCGCTAATGACAAAAATGGGAATAGTTGGTTCGGGTTTTTTTTCTTCATCATCTTGGGTTAAGCCATGATTAGGGTCGCTAGGATCTAAATTGACTACCGACGACCGTTCAGGCGAATTTTTACCATAACGATTAATTAAGACATGATTTAGTTCCTTGACAAACTCCGTTTTACCGGTGCCGGGTGCTCCATATAAAATGCAATTGTTTCGTAATAAGAAATTTTTGTATTGGTCATTTCTTCCGCTTTCACCCTCCGCATTTAAATTTAATTTTCCCTC